GGGCTGGTGCTCTATCCACTGCGCCACCTAGCCCTATTGTTTCTTTTCTTTATACTTGTTAGAATTGGGGACACCAAACACGAAAGGCAGAAAGCTATGCATGGAAGGCAAAAGAGGTATACAGTTGTCCATGATTGGTAACTGCTCCCTGCACTATAAAAGGTGGTCGAGATGTTTTCCTGAAGTTGGTCATCAGGGCAATAGGTGTTAGGTGGCTAGTGCCTGGGTATTTGTGACGGCCTACAGAGCAATTATTGAGGACACACAGAAGCAGAATTCTACAGCATGGATTTGAGAGGAAAGAGTGGCTTAGGGATGAATAACAGCTGTGTGGAAGCTGAGATAATATAAATTTGGTTGAAGCCAAAGTCATTCCAGGCCCTAGCAACCATCCTATGCCTCAGAGCTCGGGTCAATAGTCCAATAGATGTTTATTCTAATATTAGCCTACTGCCCAAGGACACTCATGGTAACCAAAGGGCTTTCCCTTCCTCACTGAGTCTCATTTACTGCATTTGTAAAATGAGGATTAAAAAAGATACCTGCACCCTACCTATTTCAGTGGGTTGTAGAGAGGCCTACCCATATTGTGAGGCTCAACTGAGGTCTTATCTCCTCCATGAAGTCTTTCTTGAAAATCCCATTTTGCAGTAATCTCTCTTTCCTCTGAACTGCTGGACCAAGTTCTTACTAACTGGATCTTTCATGTGATATCTCAACAATTCAATTAAATTTAATAAATAATCCTACTATATTCAAGAATCTATCCTGGGTATGGGAAATACAAAAATACATACAACTCAGATGCTGCTCTCAGAAAGTTTACCATTTAATGAGAAAGGTTACTGGCTGACCTTCCTTCCTTCCTTCCTTCCTTCCTTCCTTCCTTCCTTCCTTCCTTCCTTCCTTCCTTCCTTCCTTCCTTCCTTCCTTTCTTCCTTCCTTCTTTCCTTCTTTCCTTCTTTCCTTGCTTTTCTTTCTTTTTCTTTCTTTCATCATGGACCCTTTGGCAGTCTGGTATGGACCCCCTCTCAGAATAATGTTTATAAATGCATAAAATAAAATACAAAGGATTTAAAAGGGAACCAGGTCTATTGAAATAGTTATCAATTTTTTTAAAGAAACAAGTTCAGAGACCCCAAGTTGAGAACCCCTGCTCTAATAGGAAGAAAAAAACATATACAAAGGACAGACAAAAGTAAAGAAAAGGTATGAGGAAAATGGTATAAGAAATTTGAGGACACAAAGAAAACTTTTAACCGAGAATATGGAGAGAAGTAATCAGAAGACTTCATGAAGAAATAGTTAATCCTCGAAGGAAGGGAGGGACAATAGATGATAGTGGGGGGGGGGTCCATTTCAACATAAAACAAGACTAGAAAGGGGCATGAAGAACAGGCCAGTGTGGCTGAAATCTAGAGAAGCCTGGAAAAGCAGGTTGAAATCAAATGATGGAGAGCCTTGAATGCCAAAATCAGGAGTGTCTACTTTATTTGGGAAGAAAGCCACTGAAAGCACATTAGGAAAACTACTGAGGCAACAGCATAACTTATGGATTAGAGAGAAAAGAGAATAGAGGCAGGAAGACTCTTTAGGAGGATATTCAATTCAGCTAACATTTATTAAGTGTCTATGATGCGTAATATTGCAATAGTCTAGATGAGAAGAAATGAGAATTGGATGGCAGCTCTGTGCATGGGAAGTGGGAAATGGATATGAGAGTTATTGCAGAATCAGAATCAGTAAGAACTGCAAATAAGTAGGTATCATGCTGAAAAAGAGGCTCAAAGATGACTTTGAAGTTATAATCTAGGGTAGAACCACCAATAGAAAGAATTTAGGGCAGGGGGCCATATTTACCATTTTGTTACCACGTTTTTTGGGTCAAGTTTTTAAAATACATATGCCTTGTGTCTCCAACCACATTATTAACTCTTTGTGGGGAAGGACCTTATGCTATATCTCTTCTTCTGTGTGATCCCATACCAACACAATCCCTTCCTTACACAGAACACCAGACAGAGAAGGCCCTCAGTATATTTTTGTTGATGAACAGCTAGATGCTACAGTGGATAGAGTGCTGGGCTGAAGTCGGTAAGAATTATCTTCCTGAGTTCAAATCGGGCCTCAGACACTTACTAGCTGCATGACCCTGGGCAAGCCACTTCAACCTGTTTGCCTCAGTTGCCTCATCTGTAAAATGAGCTGGAGAAGGAAATGACAGACCATTCCATTATCTCTGCCAAGAAAACCCCAAATGGGGTCAAGAGGAATTAGACACAACTGAATATGACTAAGTAATGACAATATTTTTGTTGATTCATATAAGATCAAAGATCTAGAGCTAACGAGACTTCAGAGGCCAATTAGTACAAATACCCTCATTTTAAAGATGATAAAACTGGGACTCAGGGAGGTTAAGGGATTTGCCCAAGATCATACAGGGAGCAAATAGCAGAGGCAGGATTGAACCCAGGTCTTCTCACCCCCAAGCCAATGCTCCTTCCACTAAACGCCATTCTACTTTCCATGGCTACACTCCATTAAGCCATGATTTGGTCATTGCTTATGTCCATGTCCCACCATGTTCTGCCTTCTGGTAACTCAGGATTTCACGAATCCCTGCAGACTCTGCTTCCATAGTCCCCATTTAGTGAACTGGCCTCATTGAAAAGTAGAACTAGTCAACCACATTGAGGATCCTCAAAGGCCGTGGTTGAGAAAAGGATTTCAAGAGGTTAACTTCAAGGTCAACTTTCAAGAGGTCAAACATTCCAATCTCTAGGCCAGACTTCTCCAAGCCATCCTGTATAGAGGTACTTGTAATTGATTCTTAGAGCTCTATATAGTTGTTCTCCATCTCTCCAGCACCCATTCAGCCAACTTCTTTAATGATGATGTTGTTGTTGTATGGTCATTTCAGTCATGTCCAACTCTTGGTGACCCTATTTTGGGCTTTCTTGGCAGAGATACTAGAGTAGTTTGCCATTTCCTTCTCCAGCTCATTTTACAGATGAGGAACTGAGGCAAACAGGGTGAAGTGATTTACCCAGGGTCACACAGCTAATAAGTGCTTGAGGCCAGATTTGAACTCAGAAAGATGAGACTTCCTGACTTCAGGCTCTGCACTCTATCCACTGCACCACCTAGCTGCCCTTAATGATGAATTAGAGAATGTCAATTAAGATAGGAGGCAAATATGGGTTTGGTTTGACTCACAATCATGGAGTTAGACCTTAAGAGGGAGACAGGTTAGACTTTTGCTGTTTTTTTTTTTTTGGCCAAAGGCCACATCAAAGCTTCCAGAATGAAGACCAGAGATGACACATTCTCATGTTCCTCTGAAAAAGTTAAACATTCAGATAGAACAGAGCTATGCCTGTGTTTTCAGCGTACTAAGACTTAACATTGCTGTTCTTGGGAGGAGTAGGGTGAGAAATAACCATCAGAAAAATATATCAAAATACTGATTGGCATCTACATTGGTTGGGAAAAAAGAGTCCCTACAAGTCATGCCAATGTCTACATCAGATAGTAAGTAACCTTTCTTCCCTGGAAGGTTAGAATTGGCTTAGAATTAGCCTATGGAATTTCTAGCATGATTCTAGCTGCATATGGCAGAATAGGAAGCAACATGAGTTCCCTGACTGAGGTCTCTGAACTTGCAAATACAGGTTCATTGAACAAGAGAGTCCAAGGGTATTATTGGCATCCAGACATTGGGTTTGAACAGGAACTGAACTGCCAACAAGGAGGCTTGTCTGAGCTGGGAAATGTAAAGATGATAATAACTGACATTTATACAGTGTTTTAAACTTTGCAAAACATTTTTCTTACATTATCATTCACTTCCCAGCCAATTCTAAGTCATTAGGCTTGCATTCTGGCCATCATCTCTACCCCCTCCTAACCAGAAAATTGGGATCTACCCCCATAACCACCCTGGGCTTTGATAGGTTAGCTCTGGCCTTATCTTGCCAAAATCCAGGTCTTGACAACACTTCCAGGCCATCGCCAGCTAATTTACCCATGTGTTCCCTTTCCAGCTCCTTTTTTTTTTTTTGCGAGGCAGTTGGGGTTAAGTGACTTGCCCAGAGTCACACAGCCAGGAAGTATTATGTGTCTGAGGCTGGATTTGAACTCAGGTCTTCCTGACTCCAGAGCCGGTGCTCTATCCACTGTGCCACCTAGCTGCCCCCCAGCTCCTCTTGAAGTATAGTCTTTTCCCATTAGAATGTAAGTTCTTTGTGGGCAGAGACTGTCTTGACTACTAGTATTTGTATCCCCAGCACTTAGCACAGTATCTAACACATTTTTTTGTTTGTTTGTTTTTTGTTCAGTCATGTCCTGCTTTATGTGACTTCATGGGCATTGCCCATAGGGTTTTCTTAGCAAAGATACTGGAGTGGTTTGACATTTCCTTCTCCAGTGTGGCCCCATTTTACAGATGAGGAACTGAGGCATATAGAGGTTAAATGACTTGCCCAGGGTCACCCAGCTAATAAGTATATTGAGGCACTATTTAAAGTTGTTTGGAGGGGAAACTGGGAGACCTCAGGAGAGTCCCTGCCTTTTCTCTACCATCTTATATTTAGGACCATAGATCCAGAGCTGGAAGGCAACTTAAGAGTTCAATCTGGTCCAATTCCGCATTTTATAGATGAGAAAACTGAAGGCCAAAGAAGCAAGAATGACTTGCTTAAAGTTAAACCGGTAGTAAGCGGCAGAGGCAAGATTCACACTTGGGTTCTGTGACTCTGAGTTCTATGATCTTTCCCTGTAACATTGAACCCTCCTATTTCTTTCATACCCAGCACAGTGCTAGGCACATAGTAAATGCTCAACAGAGACTTGTTGAGTAATCTTGGAATACTTCCCCCATTGGCCCTTCCTTATGTTTTCATAAGGTCATCTGAGAAATCAAAGCTTCCCACTAGCCCCCATTTCACTCCCTTCCACCATGCCACCCCACCCCATTCTAATCCTCCTTTTGTGACATCATAGCCTGTTGCCAGGGGAACCCTGCCAACTGAGCCCATTGACTATGCTGGGGGATTAAGGTGGGAAAGGGCTGGGCCCGCCTGGGTTTCACCGCAAATGTCTTTGATAATTAGCCAAAATGGCAAAGAAAATGAGGAAAACCACAAGACAGAAGAGTGCAAATCCATCTCAGACAAATGATATTTCCACCTGTTCCCCAGGGTGAAAGCCAATCTGTACAAAGCTCTTCTTTTCCTTGAGTGTAAACTAAAGAATCAGAGAATTAAAAGTTGGAAGCAGGAAGTGCTTTGTTTTTCCAGAGGCTGGTGATGCTGTAGTCTTTCTGGGTGTTGTGTGTTTTGTTTTGTTTTGTTTTGTTTCTACAGCAGAGAAGAAGGAGAGGATATAGATCAGGAGGGATAAGGATATGAGCAATTAATGTACAGTGCCCCATCAAGGTTTGATCATTTAGCTCAGCTTTTTTAGTGGGTTAACATGAGTTTGTCATGGAAATAGCTTTGGGTCTTGGTCTGTCCATCCGGAAAAATGGGAACAATGCAGCATGGGAGGAAGGGGACTTGGACTTTGGTCCTCAGCGACCTGAGCTCTGAGTCAGCTTCAGCACAAGACACACCATTTGTGAGGACACTGCCCTAACTCTGGTCTGTGCATATGTGCCCAAAATAAGAAACCTCTCAATCATGTACACAGAAGTCATGGCTTAGACAATCCCAAATAGCAGATAATCCAGAACTACTTAACATCAGCTTGTGGGATGTAGTATCTGATTTCTTTTAAACAGAAGATTTCGCTTACCCTGATTATATTTTTTTTCCTCAGGTGCCTTCAAAACCACATTTCTTGAGCACATAGCAATCCGACAGCAGTGAGGAGTCGGCATGGAAACCAGCTGGATGGCAGAGGTAAGTCAGCCTTTGCCACGGAGAGCCCACATGTGGATACTCAGGAGTTGACTGTGCTAGGAAGGCTATCTTCTTTTTACTAACCCACTGGTGCTTCTCACTTAACCCAGCTCAGAGGGGGAGAGCCATGCAGAACTCAGGAACAGTTCACAGTGTACTCTCCTATTATGACTCCCCCTTCTCTCCCTTTCCCAAACCACATACCTAAGTATTCACACAATCGAATATCCGACTGCTTTCTACAGCACTACAGGGAGGGGGAGAAGAGAGAATAGCAATCCATCATTTTCCTCTAAACACACAGACCTAGTTGCTGGAAAGGGGTGTGGGAGGCTAGTGGTGTGGGAGGACCCCAGGCCAAAGCCAAAGAGCCATCACCTCCCCCAAAAGGATAACAAAGGGTATGAGAATCCCTGGTATGCACTGAAATACGTGGGTACACAGATGTATACATATCAACAGGTGTTTCCAAACAACTGTGTATGTAAGATATGTACAGTTGAACATGTACATGGGTGGAAATGCTTAAGCAGAAAAAACTGTTGGTTTCCTTTTCAGGTTTGTCTGAAGGATTCTCTGGCCCTAGGATCCTTTTCTAATACATTTGCCCCTTTCTCTTGCTCCAACGATATCCTTCTCAGTTATATCACCCTCTAGGAGTTCCTTCTGAGGGTAATGGAATGCGTGTCCAATCTAGGGAAAACCTGTCTTGTTAGTACGTGAGGGCTGAAAAGAGAAGGAAAGATTGAAGAAGAATCAGTGTGCTGGGGCTTCCAGGGTCTAGAGGTGCCCTGTGGAAAAATAACAGGATGCCTTGAATGGTACTTCTCTAAAAAAAGGGCTTGGTCTGAGAAACTAGGAGAGTGAGTGATGACAAGGAGATGGCTCAATAGATAGATTCTAGCCAAGGAAGCCCTGAAATCTAGAAGGCATTCTTCCTTTCTTGCCCTTCCCCCTACCCAACCAGAAGAAGCTGAAATTCTGGCAAGGGGGTCATTGGCCCTGTGAATTTCCTGTTTATGACTCTGTAGCTCATCTATACAAGGAGAAACAGAAGAATCTAATGTAATGCAATTTTCCATGTTTAGTGTGTTATTACAGCGACTGCCCCTGCTGATTGCTTCCTATTTTTCTTTGCTGTCTCTCTCCATGAGCCTTGCTCTACAGCACAGGACTGGGGGAGCTCTGGAGCGAGCCCATGGTATGGGCCTCAGGGCCCACTTCCCTCCCCAGCTCTCTGACATCTTGGACACCCACCCTCCTCCCTTAAGCATCTTCAGGGGCATGGATGGATTGGGGGGAGGGAAGAAATACAAGGATGAAGAGAGACAGCATTGAGAATCACTGTGGCAGAGGCAGGGAGGTGTGGGTGAGAACAGAGATGGTCTGGATCTAATGAGTTCTCGTGTCCAGCCGGGGGAAGGAGTCTGCAGAACATTGAGGCCTTTTTGTTTACCTGGCTTGGGACCTAATTGTCAAGCCTTGACCCTGCAGGCAGAGAAAGCTCCCCACCAGTAAACAAGCCTATGTGACTCTCCCTTGGGATTCATTTCCCTGCCAAGCAGCCCAGTAGGAGCCCTTATTGTCTTAACTTATTACACAGGCAGCAGAGAGAGAGCCTGGTGACAATGGTGACGTGGTGGTAACTGGGGAGATGTTGGGGAGGGATCAGAAAAATGATCTTTCCCAGGAATACATCCCCAACAATCCTGGACAGTCTCTTCCCTTCCCTCTCCCCACTCACCCCCCAAACCCCAGAGACTGTTAATTACTATTAATTGAAATACCTCTGAGAGGCAGCCTGAGAATGAATGAAAGCCAGAATCTTGGCTGGGGAGTGGGGACAACCTGGCTCCTGGGATCCTAGCACACCATGTTTCTTGAGTTGAGGTGGGGGAGAGGGAGGGAAGAAGGGCTTTGGAGGATATCAGGATATTTTCTCCAAGGCAATGCAAGAGGTCTGTCTTCTACAACCTGGGGAGGGGACGTGTTTGCTTCCCTCCAGCTTTTTCCCTCAAGAACGCAGTATCCTCTTTCAAGACCTTCCTCAGAGAAGTCCTTCTTGATTTATTCTCCTCTCCATGACTTTACATTTCCTCAATACATGCCTGGGAACTTGTTCATAGGCTAGTCAGTCAAGATCTCCTGTCTTTGTTAGGAAGGTTGGGTCTGTCTGCCCTGTTAGAAAGTGCATTTGCTCTCTGTCTGCTGTCTTTCTCTGTCTGTCTGTCTGTCTCTGTCTCTGTCTCTCTCTCTCTCTTTCTCACACACACACACACATACACACACCCCATTTCTTCTTTCCAAGGACTTCTTCATAGCACTAAGTATAGGGCTCTATAGGTCACTAGAGTTCCAGCCATGGTCCAGGCTAATCCAATGACTGACTGACTGATCAGTGACATCCCTGATTGACAGGGCCATAAATAGCCAGAGCAAGATGGAAACAAATTCAGGTGAGGGCAGAATGCTCAGGAAGAGGTCTTGTACCTTAGGACACAAGGCCCCATGATAATGATAGAAGAGGTCCCAGGGACATGACTCCATGGTGGGAAAACACAGACCCTGAGATACCGATAAGCTGCTGCCAAAAAGATGCCATAGAAGGCCAGCTTTAGGGTAGAAACTCTCCTGAGATGCCCCTGCTGGGTAGAAGCATCCTGCCATCTGTTATCTTCCTGTTTTAACTAATTACTCCTGTGAACAACAACAAAATCTTGCTAACTAGGTGCTAAGCTTAGTTGCTTCTACCCACTGAAGGCTGTCAGTGCCTTCTAAATTTTAGCATCCCCGCACAGAGCCCCAGTCACCCCTCCCTAGTTTTGGCTCTGCTGCTGATTGAAGGTCAGATGGAATCATTTTAGGGGTTGTTATTCATTCCTGGCAGGGCAAAGCCAAGAACCAAGGGAAAAATTCTCAAGATATTTGGTAACCATGGTGAGATGCTGTACTTTCTCTTCTAGTGTAACCCCCCCCTGCAATGTAAACACCTTGAGAGCATAGATCTTTTCTTATTTAAAGTTTATCCCACCCACCCCTTAGCACCTACCACAGCGCTCTAAACAATAAGAGCTTAATCAATGTTTGTTGTAGCTGCACATATTGTCACCCACATACACAGACGTCTGAGCCACTATAAGAGAAGGTGAGCCATAAATCCAAGGTCTCATTATTCCAAACATATGCATATAGTATTCCTGTAAGAGACACTATTCGGGGTTTGTGCCTAGGAGCTATTTTTTTCCAATTTAAAAGCCAAGTCCCATCTTGCTTATTCTTTAGCTTACATGCACGGAACATGCTCAGTGCTAAGCTTCAATAGGAGCCGGAATACAGAATTGGACTTGAAATATCTCACTGATTTCATACCTTTTTTCCCCCCTCCTTCTTCCCAAACACCCTAGAGGTAGCAGTCCGCACCCAGGACTAATGGTTTGTGGAGTTTCATTTTTCAAAGTTAAACATTCCCTATGATCCTCCACGTTGGCTCTTTAGACACAGCTTGGTAAACCCGTGTCCAGGACTGGGACAGCCTCTCTGGAGATGAAAGGAGCTTAACTGATTTGTACAACACCCTTTATTTTCCCCAACACATTATGGCAACATAAGAATTGTATGGGCTCTTGTATCTTGTGCAGCAAATAGCAGCCCAGAGTGAGAGGGGTTAGGCACCCTTTGAAGTGAGGGGGGAGTGAGGATGTGTAGGCACTGATTAAAAAGAGGGGACTAGAACTGAAAATAATGACAAGACAGGAAGACTGAAGAACGTGAGTATGATTTATTTTTGGTCCACCAGCCCCTCCTACCCTTTTAATCCCTTTCTTCTGTTCCAGGTTTGGCTTCTCTCTCCTCCTTCCTCTAGCTAACTGTAGTCTCAGGAAAGGATTTGCTATCAGTCCTTTACACTCTAGTGAATGTAAGAACCAATATGGATTCCTTTTCTTGAAGTAATTTGCATTTTAAATGTCTCTAACCAAGGAATGCAAGGTGTTTTTTTAAAATTCCTACTTTAAAAACATTTCAGATACTGAAAGTGTGGTAGGAGCAATATCTGACATAGAGACTAGGCCAGCTTTTCCTTAAAAATTATTGAAACTATGTTTGAGAGTTGATTGACTCAGGAGTAAGGCTTTAACTGTAGACATAGCTTCCTGCTGGCCATCACACCAGGAGTAGTCAGCAAATCCTCCCTCAGGCTTTTGACCAGAAGACCACCATGACCAACACAGAGGCAGAAATGAGGTACTCAACTAAATCACTGCTATATTCTTTCTATGCTATGACAAAGTTAATCTTCTTTTGTTAACGGTGAGTGGCAGGGGGTGGGGGGGTAGGGGGAGTGTCCACAAGTGATTCACTTTGTCCTCATTCTGAAATGCCCAAACTATGCAAGGACAGCTAGATGTTGCAGTGGATAAAGCACTGGGCTTGGAATCAGGAAGATTCATCTTCATGAGTTCACATCCTGCCTCAGACACTTATTGTTATATGATCCTGGGCAAGTCACTTAGCAATTTGCCTCAGTTTCCTTATCTGTAAAATGAGCCCGGAGAACAAAATTGCAAACCATTCTAGTATCTTTGCCAAGAAAACCCCAACTGGGATCACGAAGAGTAGGACATGACCAAGAATGATTGAGCAACAAGAATCTAACCAAACCAAGCCTGTTCTACAAAAGGAGAGGTATATTAGAGGAGCAAAACATTTAGGCGAAGGGCTTTCCTAGAAGGAAATAATGCCGCAGTGCTACTCCAGTTATTCAGAGAACAAGTGGGTCCCCAGTCACAAGAAGTCTTTAAACTAATAAGTGGAGGGCCACACATCAGGGATGTTGTTCAGGTTCAGATTGGACTAGATAATCTTGAAGGTTCCTTTCACCTCTTGAGATTCTATTTATTTGAGATATACCTGATGATTCAGGGAAGAAGCTGGGAAACCAAACAGGAATGTGGATTGTAAGAGTAAAGTGAGCAGTCTGAGGGAGTGAGCATTTAGGCGCT